GCTAAGACAGGCAACAGTGCAAATTTTGCCTGCAATGCCAGTCAGAACACTTTTCTTAAATTGTGAATGTAATCTCCCATAGTGTGAAAATAGTCTCTAGACCTTTGAAAATAACCTCCCAGTACAAAGCCTTTCACACAATTAGAGTTAAATCAGCCATGAGGTTTTGTGTGAGTCAGAATGAGTAGGTGCTTGGCCTTATGTCTCTATCTGGCTTCCCACAGTTAAAATGTCACAGATCGAACACAGATATGATGGTGATTGCCCTTAGGTCATTCAGGAGTACTCTGCATCCAGTAAGTCTTCTAGTGGGCAGCTGGTAAATGCAACCACAAATACAGCTATGCCGGTGTGTTCAAGCAGCTGTGGGTATTTTATCCTGCCGCAGTCCATCCTCCTTGCGCTCTTATGCCTTCTTTCTAGCTGGCTGTTTTTAGACAATGAATTTCCACTTCAAATGGAGAGACTCATGAGGAAGATAATGAGGCCCAGGACTGTAATAAACTCCTGTTGTGTCAGTCATCACAGGAGCCCACTTGTCAAATAGGTTAAAAAAGGGTAACAAGGTAAATGGTGAAAACTAATAATATTTATCTAGCTCAAGAACTGAACATAAACCTAACAATTTAACATGATGTAACACACATCTTATGCACCTACAAATCTTTATTCTTCCTCTTCCTAACACTATTTATTGTGCATTACCTGTGGCTTCAGAAAAAACAGAGGCAGGGTGCTCTGATACTGATTGCGGCAACATTCTTGGTTGGCATTGTCTAAGCTGTGACGTTTCCACCATAGACTGCCCCATCTGTGTTTTTGTGGAGGCACTACTTCCACATCTCCTTCCACCATCATCTCTCTCATACTTCACCCAAAGGCATTAAGCAGCTGATCAGTCGGGAATTAGATGGCCAGGATTAGGGCTTCATTGCTTCCATGCAAGATGGTTTTCATAAGGCTGTTTGTCTACCAGCCCATTAGAGATAGTCTGGAAGGCAAGGGATGGAGTGCCTAAAGCCATCCACTGTCATGGCATTTTACCAATGTAGAGAAGCTGCAGCAGAGCCAATCTGCTCAGATGAGTCACCTAACTGGCCAATTAAGGGCCTCTTTCCATCACTGTTGGCATTTTACCAGCAGCAAATGGACCGTCCAGTACAAAGGAAACTGCCAGGTGAACCCTAGTGGCCTTCTTATGGACACAGGTCAAGCTGCCCTCCTAATTAGCACCCATTGGGACCTTACAGCTGTCTCCCCAACCTTAACTCCTACATTCACGAGCCACCTCCTTCTCGTTGGAGCATGCCTGACCATTCCCATAAAACACTGAAAGGGTAACCTGTTCACATGACTTTCTCTAAGCTGGGTGTAGTCCCAGCAGTAACTGCTGGTCCACTGGCTGGCAGCTCTTGAAAATTGCTCAAATACCTGAAATGGAATGGGAACCCAACAAAGACTAATTAGGGTCATAGATCATAGATACCTACAGTGCAGAAGCAGGCCAGTCAGCCCACCAAGCCCACACCGACCCTCTGAAGAGCATCCCATCCAGACCCACACCCCTATCCTATCCATGTAACCCTGAATATCCGATGGCAAATCCACCTAGTCTTGGACATTATGGTAATTTATCAAGGCCAATCCACCTAACCTAATCATCTTTGGACTGTGGGATGAAACCGGAGCACCCTGAGGAAACCCATGCAGACATGGGTAGAATGTGCAAATTCCTGCAGACAGTCACCCAAGGGTGGAATTGAACCCGGGTCCCTGGAGCTGTGAGGCAGCAGTGCTAACCATTGAACCATTGTGTCTCCAGATTTCTGAAAGTATGATCCCACAACAGCTCAGTCTTCCAAGCCTGTATCTGGGAACCCTCCCAAATTGACTACATTCCAGTTATAGTGTGCAAGCCGTTAGTGAGGCCTGTTTGAACTCACTTGATGTTCCAACCTGGTGGCTAGTCTTTACATGAGTGAAGAAATCAGTGCAAAGGTCTGCAACTTCATGACATTTGCACTTGTGGTTGACACCCCCAAACCTATCTGCAAATGTGCACATAATGGCTGGAACATTTTCTGGTACATGTATTTTGCTGCTACTCTAACTTGTTTGTTGATAGTCCCATGATTCAATATCTGCCTGTAGTCTCTAACATAGGCTGTTCACTGCTGTCCTTGTCTCCTGCTCAATTGTTGTGTGTGAAATCATAACCATCAAGTAAAAGCCCAACTACCTCAGTTAATTCTGCTCCTATGATGCTGCTTGGCCTGCTGTGTTCATCCAGCCCTGCACCTTGTTGTCTCGGATTCTCCAGCATCTGCAGTTCCTACTATCTCTGATTCAGTTAATACTGTTGTCTTTGACACATGAGTAGCTGAACTGATATATTGTCTATATGAGTTTTGTAGTAGTGCATTTGCCCTGTGGAGATTAAAGACATGAATTAGAATTATTAAGGTAGGAATGTTTTAGGTGATTTTTATGTAAATGAACATATTTCATTGGCAGCTGACATCAAATCAGTATGAGCAAATGTTGGCTACCACATGGCTGTGTGAACTATTCTACCACGAAGAATCTGGGAAGACTCCATCATCCTATCTCTGATGGCCAGATACAGTGAAACTCAATGATAGTCAATACTGCTCCCTGTGTAGCTGTCGGTTGTGAGGTGAGTGGAGGATTACTTCCATTCTCAGTTAACCCTGGTATTCCAGGATTTCTTCTCTTGCAAAGAGGAAATGAGACAAATGGAATGGCATGACATATGGATGGAACACACATATTGAGCCTGACTATGAGGGAGAGGAGAGGAGTGACACTGCATTTGGATGACAGGAAATATTATCAATGGTGGATCGATAGTTTGGGATATAACTAAAAATAGGTAGAGAGGTCTGTGTTCATCTGTAGGTAAGTTGGTGTGAGGAATAATGTTTAATGTACAAGTTTAAGAGGCAGAGTGAGGGAGACTGTTGAGACACCCATTATAGGATGTACTTAAATTTGTCACTGCTGTCATTCTTCCTGCATTGTTCAAGCCATAAATCACTTTTGGCATTGAACCCAGGAACATAACCGTATACTATACTCCTGATACTGACCAACTACAAACCTACTTGATTTCACTGATATGATCCTTCACCTCATCAAAAAGGCAGATACAGGTAATGAATAACAAGTTGATTAAATATATCTATCTCCCTGTGGAACCTCACAGGATATAACATTAAATGGAAGTGTTATGAAAGTAAAGTGAAACCTTTAAGCATGCGTATATCATTCTATGTTTCAACATAGAATATTACTGCACACGAACAGGCCCTTTGGCCCACCATGTCTGTGGTAGCCATGATGTCATTATAAACTAATCCCATCTGCCTGCTCATGGTCTGTATCCTTCTATTCCCTGCCTGTTCATGTGTCCGTCTAAATGCATCTTAAACATTGCTATCACTTCCTTGAGTTCTCCTCCCAAATCCAGAATCTATCAAATATCCCTCTAATTACTGGGGTTGAAATTGACTCATAGAGTTTGGCATCGTGTCCACTCAACCAAATTGGTGGAGAAACCTGTAAATAATATAGTAATACACTGGCTGTATTAAAAAGGCACTGACAAATGCTTTGCTCTTACTACTAGGTTTACTACTTCACACCAGTCCCAAGACATCACCAACTTAAAATCCAGCCCCCTAACTCCTCGGCTACTGAGGTCCCACCTAATTTATAGCACAAATTTTATATGATTGCTATGGAGAGAGAGAGAGAAGTATATGAGATTAGGATGTCTTGATTACAAAGCTGAAAGACACTGAAGTTCATGTCAGTCGTCAGAAAGATAAAGCAAAGTTGTATAATGTCACTTATAGTCATAAATAGAGTCATAGAGCCATACAGCATGGAAACAGACCCTTCGGTTCAACTGGTCCATGCCGACCATGTTCCCAAACTAAACTAGTCCCACTTGCCTATACTTGGCCCACATCCCTCCAAATGTTTCCTGTTCCTATATTAAATGTCGTAACTGTACTTGCATCCACCACTTCATTCCAGCTCATTCCACACACGAACCACTGTCTGTAAAAAGGTTGCCCTCATGTTCTTTAAAAACTTTCTCCTCTCACCCTAATAATACGCTCCCTAGTTTTGAACTCCCCCTACCTAGGGAAAAGACCCTTTCTGTTCACCTTATCTACGCACGTTATGATTTTATAAACACCTATAAGGTCACCCCTCAACCTCCAATGCACCAGTGGAAAAAGTCCCAGCCTATCCAGCCTCTCCTTATAACTCAAACCCTCCATTTCCGGCAACATCCTGGTAAATCTTTTCTGAACCCTCTCCAGTTTAATAATATCCTTCCTATAGCAGGGCGACCAGAACTGCACATAGTACTCCAGAAGACGGCTCACCAACATCCTGTACAACCTCAACATGTTGTCTCAACTCCTATACTCAAAGGTCTGAGCAAGGAAGGCAAGTGTGCTAAACACCTTCTTAGCCACCCTGTTTACCTGTGACACAAATTTCAAAGAATTATGTACCTGAACCCCGAAGTCTCTCTGTTCTACAACACTACTACTGGTTGTATAAGCTCTCCCCTCGTATGTTTGACCAAAATGCAATACTTCCCATCTATTTAAATTAAACTCCACCTGCCACTCCTCAGCCCATTGACCCAATTGATCAAGATCTCTTGTAAACTTAGATAACCTCCTTCACTATCCACCAGACCACCAATTTTGGAGTCATCTGCAAATTTACTAACGATGCCTCCTATATTCTTATCCAAGTCGTTTATGTAATGACAAACAAAAGTGAACCCAGTACCAACTTGATGCCTACGTAATGTTAATTCATAGTTCCGTTTAAAATTGTGAAAAGTTACATTTCCCAAATTTGGTAACATTACCTAAAATATCACCAGTTTATAAAATAAATGAATGTGGAATTGTATTATTACAACTAGGGTAAAGTATTAATATTCTTACTCGGTGTTATTGCTATCAATGGTACGAAACAATTCATGCATCTCTTCTGAATTCAGGACTCCATCTATAAAGTAAGCCTTGAACTCATCAAAGGACAGCTTGCCATCATCTGTAAGCAAAGAAGACTTAGCTGTTAGATTGTATTAATAGCTCTCATTTTCATAAATCAGATCATTTTAAATTCTTTTGTCAATAACATTAAAAATGGTTAGGTTGAATCAATATTTAATAGATCACTGATAAGTGCAAAATGGCATTAATCTTTCAAAACTAGCATTTACTGTAACTTGAAATTCAGAATTAAAATATATTAAACTGATCTATTTTATAACAACGACTAACATGGCTGGAGTTTTCCAAGCTAAACCACAGGTTTTAAAAGGATGGGCTTGGGAACTGATTATGGTGAGAAGCAAAAGTTCAGTTTCCTGACAGTGGAATACAGTGTTGTCTTTAAATTCTCAGAATTCAGCTCTCAAGCATGTTGACTTCCCCGAGGTACACGGTTGGAAACTGACTTTGCATTCATTAGCATGTTATGAGTACTCTGCAGTCTGCTAGAATTATTTTCACAGACATATCTTGCTGGTTAAAAATGGAAAACATGTATGTTCACAAACCCAGTTATACCTATGAGGCATGTTTTTGGAAGGTTAGAGTTCTTCCTCTAAAGTCCAGCCAGCACAAACTTCTCCAGTAACTTCACTCCTTCAAAATAGAGATTTTTTTTTTGCAGACACGTACTGTATAAGGCCATAAGACACAGGAGCAGAAATATATCATTCAACTCATCAATCTGCTCCTCCATTCAATGGGACCATGGCTAATCTGATAATCCTCAACTCCACTTTCTTACCTTTTCCCTATAACCATTAATTCTGTTACTGATCAAAAATCTATCTATCTCAGCCTTGAATATTCTTAATGATCCAGCTTCTAAAGCCCTCTCAAGTAAAGAATTCCACAGATTCACTACTTTCTAAATGAAGGAATATTTAGCTCCTGCCAAATGCAAAACCTCACATTTTCCCACATCATATTCCATCTGTATGATATTCCAACATGAAGCTGCTCCATGTTGATCAGCTCATGAGAAGTCTCAGTCATGTGTATTCTGCTTTGTTATTATGAAATGGTTTCAAGTGTTAAGAGCAAAGTCTGATTGGGCAAACAGGCCTGTCCAAGTGAAACAATGACACTGGCTGACACCAGCAAACCTGACGAGGGCTGGCAAGTGCAATCAAAAGGGGACTCAACTCAAATAGCCTATTTTGGGGGTTGTGTCATTGTCCCATGGACGCTTTCAGTGAAAAGCTATCAGATGTGTACATCCACTGAGTAGTGCTGAAAGATGGTATCTGAGCTACTGAGTGTTGTAGCTCCTTTTATGTTTTAAGTGTGAATTCTGGCAGATATCTGACAGGCAGTAACACCGTGGTGCCAGTGATGGTAGTTTGGAGCTGCAATGAAGTGACAGACATTGACTGCATGTGGAGCATCTGATGGAAGTACTAGGCACCCTACCTCGTATGGGAGAGTCCTGTGATGTGGTAACCTTACAATGCTAACTCACTCTCATAGTAGCACGAAGAACTGAATGCTATATACCGTAATAGAATGCAGCAGATCATTGTGGAAGTCAAGTCAGGACGTCTTGAGCTGTGTGGTGCTGACCTCCACTGACAACTCTGTCCAGACTGCCATTGTCAGTCTGGATGGATACTTCTTTAATCCCTAGGGAAAAGAATTTCCCTATTCTCCCGTACAGTCTTCGGGAGAACTTCTAGGGATGCACTGTTAAAGCATTGTGCTGTGTGCAGTTCCTGTGTGCAGGAAAGTGAACAGAGGTTGAGTGATCCTCTTGGGTTGCAGAGACTGAAGTGCTGTCCAGTTGCCTTTTACAGTTTCCAGGTGTTGAAGCCCAGAAGGTCCTGGCAGGTTTCAGAACTTCATGTCCACAAAGTTTGGCTTTTTATCCGTAAATACAAAATGAGCTGAGAAGACTGTAATTGTGCAGGAAAACTAACTCTGCCCCCAAGCAGTCTCCCCAAAGTTCCCTATCATCATTATGCAGTAGTTCTTGCAACTTAGTGTTACTTGACTGCAAATTTGCCCTTCTCTCTCCTTCCCACTATTTATCAGTTTATATACTCAGTAGAGAATACTCTTTCTGCTTTTACACGTCTCTGAGTTACGTCTCAGAAAAAAATTGTCCCCTCGTTTATTTCCAATTATTTTTTGGTGTCATGGGAATGAACAAGCTTTTGCAATTGTAGAAACAGAGAATAACACCACACAAAGGAGATTTCAACTCACTGTGCTTGTGCAAAGTCTTCAGTAGATCTAATAAGTTAGTCCTATTCCCTGTTCCTCTCTACAGCTCTGTAAGTGACTTCCCTTCAGATATTTTTTCCAAATTTCTTCTGAAAATCACAACTGAATCTTCTTCTATCATTGTGAGAATATGACTGCACTGTACCTGCATCATCTCAATAAATGCCTTTTGTTGTTCATTTAATGTATTGCCTACCAAATTTTTATTCCAGACCATTTTCAACTCATGCAAATAATAAATTCTCCATCGTATGTTTTTAAGTCTGATTTTCCTTGTCAGTTTCCAGATCTTTTCTGAATATTATGTTTAATGGTCCCCACATGCTCTCCCACTGAAATTTGCCCTCCCATTGAAACATGTTCCATTTGTACCACTTCTTTCCCCAGTACTGGATCTAGCAATGCTTTCTTCCCACTGGACTTGAAACACATTGATTAAGAAGGTTTTCTTGTACTACACTACAGACTACCTCCTTATTTTGCCCTTTCTACTGTTATTGTTCCAGCTTATATTAAGATAACTGAAGTTCCCGATCATCATTAAGCTGTAGTTCTTGCAACTTTACGTAACTTGACTACAGGTTTGTCCTTCTCTCTCCTTCCCACTGCTTATTGGTTCTCAGTACAGAATACTCCTCTATCCTTCCTTAATTCTAGTCAACATGGCTCACTCAACTGCAACATGCTTTTCAGAGGTTTAACTATTTCTCTGATTAATACTGCTAACTTCCTTTTTCCTTCCCCATCTTTCGTGAATATTTTGTAGCAAGGTATATTCGTTTCCCAGTCCCCACTCCCACATCACTACACACTCACCTCCTGCTCATTTTTGGACCAGATCTTCATTTTCTTTCTGCATTATGGTATAATAAGATTGATAAGTAAATGATGACAATATAACTGCTGATGCGATTCTGAGATCAGTAATACAGAATACACCAGTCTAGAATGAGCACGTGAGAAGGCAGGTTTTAGACATTATGCGAGAGAGCTGTATTTGATAATTTACTATGTACTGATGTAAAGAAAAGAATGTTACAGCAGATAAGGAGTTGAAGAGCTTTACTTAGAAATGTGGTGCAAGCACCCTTAGGGACAGTGTATGTGCAGACTAACATTTCAGTGTTTCGATAGTAGAATTGGCTTAAAGCACAAGATAAAGCATGGTACCAGCAAGGGAGAGGATCTGAAGTTAAAATAATGCAAGGGTCACAGCTGAAAGAGGAAAACTCTGCAGAAGGTGCAGCTGAGTGAAAAGCAGGAAAACCTTAAATGCAGGCCAAGACATCAGAAGAAGTTAAGGCAAAAAATGCTGAAAAAAGAAAAGGCTCTGAAGAAAGGAAAGAAGAAACTCAGAAGATTTCAATTACAGGGCAATAGGTTAGGAAGACTCCAACTTCAGATTTAAAATGGTCATGAATGAGAATAGAATCATAGAATCCCTACAGTGTAGAGGCAGGCCATTTGGCCCATCGAGTCTACACAGACCTTCCGAAGAGCATACCACCAGATGCAGCCCCCTACCCTATTCCTGTAACCCTGCATTTCCTATGGCTAATCCACCTAACCCACAGATCCTTGGACACTATGGGAAATTTAGCATGGCCAGTCCACCTAACCTGCACATCTTTGGACTGTGGGAGGAAACCAAAGCGCCCAGAGGAAACCCACACTGACATGAGGAGAATGTGCAAACTCCACACAGTCACCTGAGGGTGGAATCGAACCCTGGCACTGTGAGGCAGCAGTGCTGACCACTGAGCCACTGTGCTGCCCGTAAATTGTAAATACTTTGGAAATTAAAAAGTCAGGAGCAGAAATCTTCAACAGTAAGAAGGAAAAATCCAAGTACTCATCCAGGTTAGTCAAGTGCAACAGTCCTTAGAACAGTCCAGTAGAAACCTTGCCTTACCTCATCCATTTGACAACATGGAATGTTAACAATGAGGCCAGAAGTAAGGCTCTGGACCAGCAGGTTCAATACATCAGAATGGTTTCAGCCTCACATGCGAAAGAACAGGATCACTAAGTCATCATGTTTTCATATTCTGTAGGTCCAATAGCTGATGAAGCTCTTATATAATAACATGTGGAAGAGTGCACTACGGAATATAATGCATTGACTAAAGCATTCAACATGTACTTTAGACCCAAAAGATATTTAGTTTTAGAATGGAGATAACTTAATCAGCAATGTCAGCATTTGGGAAAATAGAAGAAGTCTTTCACAGGCTGTTGCACCAATACTTTGTGTAAAGTTGCAAAATATATATAAAGCCATTGAAATCAGACAACTCTAAGAAATAATTACCAATATTGGCACAGAAACCAGGATACAGGAAATAAATGAGCTGTGTGGGATGTTTAGTTTGTTGCACCCACTACAAAGCTGTCCTATGTTCCAAAATTTATGCAAATCATGGTTCAAAATAACTTTTGACTTGCTATGCAAGAAATTTAATTCAAACAATACAACGAGAAACTATTACAAGACACAATCAAGCAAAGCATTTGACTAACATGCTGGCAGCAACAACTGGGTGTGTGCTAGAGACCTGCATAAATGCAAGTATGTGCATTAGGTTAGCAGCAAGATGGGCCAGAGTGATGATCCAGTGTGGAAGAATGTTCAATTTGAGAGCAAATAAGCTTTTCACATTATGAATGTGACACTTGTGTGGGTGAAGTCAAACAGTTCAATGTTTTTTTGTCACTACTAACATCATATACCTAAAGAAAATTTGCAAATACACACTCATGACCAAATCGATACTA